TCTGTCATATTTCCTTACAATGTATTGTAACATCACCATGATAATTTCTTTCTTATTGTTTGGGACAAAGATAAAGTTTTTCTGTCACTTCGTACTGAAACAATGTGTCTCGAGGGTGCAAGCAAGCTTTTAACATAAATAACAGCCTCACATGTTTATGTCACATGCATTTAGCTGCTACCACTTCACAAGTTTTTCACTTCCACTCATTATTATTATATCACTTCAGCAGTACTCTAGAAACTTTTCTTTATCCATACTTGCTCCTTTCTTTGTCAAGGTATGTAGATATGATTGCAAATCCTGAGGTGGCTGAAACATTTAGGAAAAGAGCAAAGGTCAGTTTTCCATTTTTATTTCAATTTTTCTCTTTTGTTATTATTGCAAAAAACTACTTGAGATCATCTATAGCTTATTATATATGCTTTAGTACCAAATATGGTATTGATTTATAGTTATTTTCAGTAGATTATATCAGAGATACGCAAGACAGTTGAATCGTCAGGCTTTGTTGAAGTCGAAACACCAGTTCTTCAGGTTGTCAAGACTTTTTGTTCATCACAGGTTATGTGTTTTAAATCTTAATGCATGATAAAATAGATCAAGTATTTGCATTGGGTAGTCAACAATAGTATATTCATGCAATGACATTGGGTTGGGTGGTTTGCAACTTCATAATTATATTCGAGTTTTTCATGAATTCTACTGCCAGCCAAGCCGAAGTCCCTTGAGTATCGTACTCCACTACTTATTTTCTTCTCCTGTGCATGCTTCCTTAAAAACATTTGCAACTAATTTTGTTCAAATTTAATAGACCCAACTTTCCTGAAAATTCCACAGGTCTTTCAGAACCCTACGATATGTTTTGTCTAAGGAATAGATCAAATTTATGCATATTTTTCTATTTTTTCCCTTCCTCTCCCACCCCCTACCTGCACCAAAAAATGAGAAAGGCACATGAGTAAGAATAATGAACACATCCGTAGATGGTTCCATGTTTTAGTTTTTGATTGTTTTCTTAATCTAGGGAGCCGCTGGTGGGGCTGAAGCTAGGCCATTCATTACATACCATAATTCTCTTGGTCAAGATCTTTATCTGCGGATCGCAACTGAGCTCCATTTGAAGAGAATGCTGGTAAGGTTCTGTTTCTCCTGCCAATTCTTTACGAGTTGTCTTCCTTTCGTTATTCAATAACAAATAGTTGTTTATCTTCTTCCAAAATGGTTTAACAGTTATGACTTGATTCTTGATATCATAGTTACATTGACAAAAGAATTATTTTCAAGGGGATTTTCTTCTAGATCAATATTTTCCATGCACATTATGGCCAGTTGAGCACTTTAGCTTATTCAGGAAATATATCAATTTTTCTGATGGCTTGTTATGTCCAGTCTCCCCATCTGTTAGCTTCTCTTGTTACTAGTTAGTACGTTACACATCTTTCTTCACTAGCTTTTAACCTTAAATTTTAGTAAAAGATTTTGACATATTGTTTATT